AGTACAATGGTTATTAGTAAAGAATCCTGGAAGACTGAATGTTTGTTCTTTTCAGAAAAAGAAGTGACTGTCCAGGTTCCAGTCCAAATAAACAAACAACAAACAAATAATAAATATCCTGATTATGTGATTACCACAAGATGGCAGGATAATATCACAGTTCAACCTTATTGAAGCCTCTTCCTAGACATCACAGGCTACTCAATAGACATTCTCAGAGATAGTCTCACTCCGTAGCCAATGTGGCCTTGAACTTTTAGTCATGGGGTTAATGACACGTGTCACCATTGCTGGATGGAAGTGATTTTTGGAAGAATGTGTGTGTACCACGAATCTTAAAAGGTCTTATAATAAAAAACCCAGAGCCAGATATCAGGGTGAAAGCTGAAAGATCAGAGAAGCAGAACAGCCAGCCACTAGCTTACATCTAGGAAATCCTCAGCCTCAAGAGAGCGAGTTCCTGTTTCCTTACACCTTAGATACCTTTCTGTGTTCTGCCATATTACTTCCTGGGACTAAAGGCCTGTGTCACCACTGCCTGGTTCCGTTTCTCTCTTGTAGCCCAGGCTGGCCTTGAACTCACAGAGATCCAGATGGGTCTCTGCCTCCTGAGTGATAGGATTAAAGGTGTGTGCTGCCCGCAAGCCAGGGCAGTGGTGGTCCATGCCTTTAATCCCAGCACTTGGGAGGCAGAGTCAGGCGAATCTCTGTGAGTTCGAGGCCAGCCTGGGCTACCAAGTGAGTTCCAGAAAAGGCACAAAGCTGCACAGAGAAACCCTGTCTCGAAAAACCAAAAAAAAAAGAAAGAAAGAAAGAAAAAGAAAACACAAATTTCTGCCTAAGAACACAAGGTTGACCCAACCAACCATGAGCCGTGTGGATGGGCAACCATGAGACAGCCATGAATGCTGAAAGCTGAGGAGCTCTGTCCCCAGCAAAGACAGGACGTCAATTAGCATGAAGTCCATAGGACTACTGCCCCACCAAGACTCTAGACAGAGCTTCTCATTTTAGAAGTTACCCTGAAGAAAGGGGCCAAGGAGAACAACTGGCTTCTGCTCTCCAGTAGGCTGAGGCTTAAAATAGAAATTGAATTCAGTACCATAAAAGAAAAGGGGGAAATGGCCTTGGGAAATGGCTCGGTCCATTAAGTGCCGTGTACAAACCAAAGGACCTGAGTTCATTTCCCCAGGACCCACACATAAAACAAAGCAAGGCACGAGATCACGTGCTCATAACGGCAGCAATGAGGAGGTGAAACAGGAGACTTCTCTGAGGTTCCCCAGCCTTTCAGATCAGCCTTTGGCCTCCACAAGTACACACACACACACACACACACACACACACACACACACACACAAGAAAAGAAAAAAATCAATTCCTTGCGTGTCCAACTTGGAAGAATGAAACTCTCATGAGAATGACTCTTAACATTTGGGAGGACAGGGACAGGTTTAAAGCCCGTCTGGGCTACATAGTGTGAGTCCTAGGCAAGCAAGGATTGATAACGAGACCCTCATCACAAAACAAGAAAGGCAGAGAAAGAGAGAGAGAGGAGAGAGAGAGAGAGAGGGAGAGAGAGAGAGAGAGAGAGAGAGAGAGAGAGAGAGAGAGATGAGAGACAGAGACAATACGTGGACCTGCCCTGTAGATGCAGATGCCAGGGTTCATAATCTCCCCAAATCAAGCCCGTACTTGCAGGCCCCAAGGACTTGTGACCGCTGAGCACAGGCCAGCCCCAGTGTTGATACTGCAGGACTGGGACCACACTTGTGCAATAGGAAATGGGCCCGCTAGGAAGCCCTGGAGGCTGAAGACGGTTGGTGGACCCCTGTGGAGAGGAGAGGCAGCACACAGCAGATCTGCGGGCCTCTGGACAGGCCGTCTGCACTCTGCCGCGCGCACACCCTCACTATCTCGCTGACCTGACCCCTCTGCAGAAGGCTTAGAGGCAGAAACCCCTCCTGCTGCTACAGCCCCCTTTGGTCTGCAGCTTTTGGCGTCATCTTATCTTGCTTTGAGAAAAGGAATTTTGTAATAAAAATTTCTTAGCGGTGCCTCAGTGAAGAATTTTCTTATTATCTTTTAAAAAGCTTTGAGGGGTGGAGCTGGAGAGCTCAGTGGTTCTCTTCCAGAAAACAGGCATTTGATTCCCAGCACTCACAGTGGGTGGCTCACAAATCACCTATAATTCCTGCTCCAGGAGACCCAATGCCCTCTATGGCCTCTGTGGGCATCCACACATGTGTGCATTCCTACAGGTAGCTACATACACATGGGCAGAAATAAAATACATCTTCAGAAATAAAAATAAGCCTCAGAGGACTCTGGAGATGGTTCAGTGGACATGCTTGCTTGCTGTGGAAGGATGATGATGGATCCCTAGCACCCACGTTAAAAAGAGCTCAGCATGGTCCACACAGGTGCTGGGGAGGCAGAGACAGGGGTAGCTGGGGCTTGCTAATCATCAGCCTAGTAGAAAAATGAGCTCCAGGTTCAGTGAGAGACTATCTCATGTAACGACTACGAGAGAGTTGATTGCTTTACCAGAGCTCTAAGAAAGGCCCTGCCTCAAAAAACTAGGGTGGAGAGTGATGAAGAAGACAGCCGACGAGTGCATGCACACCCACACCCGCACCCACACCCACCGACCCACACACACACACACACACACACACACACCCCACACACACACA